CAGCAGCAGCAGCAGCAGCAGCAGCAGAGAGACGAGCTTCAGCTCAAGCTGAATTTTGGCTCTTTTTTGGCTTTTTCGTTGGGAAATTGGCCAACACGGGGTGGCTGACTGGCTGGCTGGCTGGCTGGCTTTGACTGGCGTTGGTCAGAGAAAAGGCAACAATGACACACGCCGCCTTGCCTTTGGGCCCCCACCGCGATTCGTCTGCGCTTCTGCTGTTACTGCTGCTGCTGCCGCTCCGGCTCTCGGCGTGCGCTCAGCCTGCAACGCGAACCGGCTCAGCAGCGCGTTTGGCTTTCTTCGCACCCGATTCCTCCGCTCTCTCCGCACCCACCGCTCTCCAATTCAGCCGGTTCCCGTGCCGCACCGCCGTTGCCCCCTCCTCCCCTTCTCCATCGTCCATCCACCGTCCATCCAGCCATCCGCAGCCAATCCCGCTCGAAAAGGGATAGCTCGCACGCTTGCTCAAGCATCTCGACCATCTCAACCGGCCAACACTCCCACTCCCGTCTCGCGGCTGCCGAGGTCCATCAATCGATCCGGCTTCATTCGCACGCATCTTCATCACCCACCAATCCTCTTCATTCTCATCCTCAAGCGTCCGCAATCGCTCGCCGGACCCACACCACTTCCGCGCTTCCATCTTCACCCCCCGATCACATTACACCTGCTGCGACCTTGCGTCAGCCGTCAGCAGTCACTCGCTCGAAGCCTTGCTTCATTTGCATCCGCACCCGCTCCCATCGCTCGTCAAGCAAGGGTCGGCCATTCGGCGCATCCATCGCCTTTCTGCAGAGCAACCAAGCCCGTCCCTCACAACTTCCGAGCTCGTCCCTCTCGCTTCGCTTTGCTTCGGCCGACATCGCTGCCGGTACCCGGCATCGCATCCGCTTCGCGCTTCGCGCTCCACGTCGTAACCCTGCCCCTGCCTCCTCGGCATCGTCTTGCACCACCTACTCCTCCGCCCTCCTCTCTTCAGCGCAACTACCTCCTCCCATACAGCAACCATGAACACGCCGCCCAAGTTCTCCCACTCCCGGCAGGGCTCCGTCGACCTTCCATCCTCCTCCTCGGCAGCCCATCTCCACCACCCCTCCTTGTCCGGTCATCCTCCCAGCGGCTCCCACACCCCGGGCCACCACTCTCCCCTGACAACCTACGGTCACGCGCTCGCGTCTCTCGCCTACCCGACTTCGTCCTATTCGCCCTATCGCTCCGCTCAGAACCTCCCTGTCGGATCATGGGCTTCCAGCAATCCATCCGCACTCCATGGCAGCACTGCTCCCTCCTCCTCCAAGCGCAGCCAGAGCAGAGACGCAGATGACGATGACGACGAAGAAGACGATGACGATGACGACGACGACGATGACGGCGACAGCGACGATTCCGACGACTCGGACGACGATGACGATGAAGACGACGACGCCGACCAGACCAACGACGGCAAGTCAAAAGGCGCAAACAACAAGCGCAAACGCGACGCATCGCCAAAGAACGCAAGCGCAAAGAAGAAGGCCAACGCCAAGGACAAGCAGGGCGACAAGTCTGGCGGCGCCAACGGCACAAAGGACGGCGCCACAGGCCAGAAGAAGCAGAAACCCACCCGAGGCGCTCGCGCCTGCACAAACTGCCGTCGCCTCAAGATGCGCTGTGTCGGCGCCGAAAAGGGCCCTCCCTGCAACCGATGCCGCAACGGCAATCACGAATGCATCTTTGAGGAAAGCAATCGCGGCAAAAAGGGCGGCAAGAACCAAAAGGCAGAGGCCATGCAGCAGAGTCTGCGCAAGATGGAGCAGACCCTCGCCACCGTCCTCCGCAGCATCCGCGACCCAGGTCTCGCCGCACAGCACGGCGGCATGGTCACCCGCTCGCCCTCCCCCACCTTCCC